TTTTACTGACCAGCAACGGGATCGCAACCCTCGGTGTTGCGCCCGCACCGCACTCAGCCAGCGATCGGGAACCAGTCTCCACATGGGATCCGAACCCTCGGCAGGAGCGCTGCCATGCTCCCAAGCAGCGCACTCTCCAGTGCGCCACCGGGCTGGCCCTGAGTATTTATTCTTGTAGAATTTTGATGTTGGAGCCATGTTATTGGTATACACATTCAAATAATAAAAATTTATTAGCAAAGATGGGGGAAAACCCCTAAATTTTTATTTAAACAAAAACAAACTAATCTGTAAATCAAATGCCTAACATAACCATGCAAATTAAAAAAGAAACTAATCCAAGTAATTTTGAACATAGTACTTTGACTAAATACCCTTAATCTAAGACAAAAAGAAAATCTTGACCTTTTCTTAAAAAATTTGTTGTAGGCAGTGGTAAAGACATAGCAATTCTTTATCTTGTGTGTATTGTCAGATTGAGCAGATGTATAAATTTACTGATATTGCTGGGATCCAAGGTTATCATTACTGGAGAAGGAAAATTCAAATTTAAGTAGGGAAAATAAGGAAGAACCTGTGGTACTGGATTGGAATTAGAGGTGTCTCTATGAATTGACCATTTGAAAATAACCTATATTCTAGCTCTCTTTGCTCAAAAGGGCCTTAAGGCAATCTTATCCAGTAGAAAAGAGCTCACCCAGGTTTCTGATACCTTCGGAGTGGGCAATGATGTAAGAATTTTATCCTACCAATCTCCATTTTTTTTTCTATGTTTTAATTTGTTTAGTAATTTGAATTTGTAAGTTATGTTCCTGGGTTTATATCTAAGTGGGGGAAGTGAATGTGTGGTTGTCTCTATGTTTCCCAATTACCTTAGAATCATCTGCCTGACTCTGGCTAGTGAACAGAGCTGGCTGGGACCAATGGGTTCGTATAGACCTAGATCAGAGGAGGGAATGACAAGAAAAAAGCCCCCACACAGAGGTTTTATGCAAAGTTATTCTCTCAAACCGTCTTTAGAGCGAGAGAATCTTCAGGATCCTCATCAAATGGCTTCTCTTTGCTTTATTCACGCTACCATTGAGTCTGGTCCTGACTTAATAAACAGGACTTATTTCTCTTTCAGTTTTATGGCCACTAAATGGAAGCACGGTCTTCTTTGACCTAGGTAATTTATTCTTTATTGTGGAATAAGACTACTGTGGAATAAGACAATTGTCAAATGATTAAAAGTTAGACTTTTCCCAGAGAGTTATTATCACTTGGAGAGATCCAGGTAAACTTCTCTATCAGGATACACAAAAAGATGAAAAGTGACATGTTTTTGTAAAGACTGGGATCATCAATTAATGAATTTATGTTAATGCTCATTTGGTCATTGAATAAAATTAAATTCTAAAAGCTTTGTGTAAGTTAGCTGGAGTGAATGTTGTTTCTGTATGTCTTTTGTCTTTAAAATATGTCACACACAGGGACAGAATTAACTCTAGTCTTGCCATTTTTGGAAAAAGGAATTGTGATAGCAAGAGTCAGGAAACATTCATTCAAGATGTGCATCTATTACAAAAGGTAGCAAAAAACAAAAACTTTATTTGGAATGATAAGTTCATTTTTAATTGATTACCTTAGGCACTGCAAAATAAATAATACTTTTGTGTGTGTGTGTATACATATATATATGTTTTCCAGTAGAAGTCTACCTCATAACTTACTGAATTAATAGCCAACATGAGTAAAAACAAAACAAAACAAAACAAAAAAACCCAGGGCCGGCCTGTGGCTCACTCGGGAGAGTGCGGTGCTGATAACGCCAAGGCCACGGGTTCGGATCCCATATAGGGATGTCCGGTTCGCTCACTGGCTGAGCGTGGTGCTGACAACACCAAGTCAAGGGTTGAGATCCCCTTACCGGTCATCTTTAAACAACAAGAACAACAACAAAAACTCCCAATTCAATTAACATTGGGAGAGATGAGAGAGAGAAGGTAAGTACTGGAAAGTAAAAAGAGCTATTCCAGAGAAAAGAAACATTTAAACAGTTTCAAAAGAGTCTGAATGCTCAGGGGATGTTGAACAGTTCAGTATTGCTTGTTTCTAAAATGACTATAAGGAAATAGTTAAGGAAGTTGAAGAAAAAAAATAGAGTTCCAAATGGGGAGGGCTTCGTAGACTAAGCTGAAGTCTTTGAGCTTTCTAATGTAGCTTAGTGATTCCCCAATTTTGTTTAAACTAATACATGAGAAGCTTTTGAAAAATAATCGTTCATATATTTATGCATTTTAGGAAATTTCATTATTTCATATATATTATTGATAGTGACATTTTATTTTTGAACAAAATATTTAAATTAAAAAGATAATAAACGTAAAGAAAATCTTGGTTGAATAATTAGACAGTTAAAATGCAGATATGGAAACATTCATTTTGCTGGCTTGCAAATAACTGAATTTGGGAAACATTGCTATGGATAATAATGAGCCAGTCGTGTGTTTTAGGCAGGAGAATGACAGTGTCTGGCCTCTCTCTTTGCCCCTCCCCCAATTAAACCCAAGTAAATATGTGAAGATGGTTTGGAATGAGTGGACTTCAAAGGAAACACAGCCACTTAGAAAACTTTTGCACTTGGGAGGTTGAAGTTATTGGGTGCCTAAACAAATGTGGCCGGAGAAAGGGACGGAAAAGCGATACTGAAGGAAAAGGACAGAAAACAATAGGATTTGATGAACAATAGAATGTGCAATTTTATGCAGAAAGGGGAGATTTAGGATGTTGGGGAATAACTAAAAAAGAGAAAGGACAAAGTAAAAGATATCATTAGGTAGTAAAAGATTTTTGATATTGATATTCCATAAAATTTGAGCAAATTAAGAGCTGCAACTATTTCCCTTCTACATTATCACCCTCTTTTAATTTAAACCTCACTTCTGTGTTTTACTTAGTTAAAGATGGGTGGGGTATTTCAGATTATTTGGTTATGTGTTTTTGAGTTTTCCTATAAGCACTGAGTTCTGAGCCAGGTTTCAGAGTTTTATGCTATTCAAAAAAAGCATAAATGTCTCTGTTCCCAAAGGAAGGCATGAGTGTAGTCTGTGGGAGGTGAAAACACTGATCTTTCAACTGAGATTTCACCCAGGGAAAGAGAGATGTTTAAAGACTAAATTTTCCAAGGTCACTGGGGGTGAATGTACCTAGATTCTTAAGAGAACAGCCCTGGTCTGCGAAGCTCAGAGTATTTATTGTGAATAATCTTCTTTCATCGCAGGTTCATGTAAAAACTTTGCAGTAATGAAGGAGACAGGATTCTCATTTATTTGGGAGACAATATCACAGGGGAGTTCTTTGCAGAGTTGGCTGCTCCAAAAATGGTACTACATGGTGTTAAGCTCGACATTGTCATACACATGGTCTTGTCTCTCACCCAACGAGGACTCTTTTTCTCCAGTGGTAGAGTTGGCAGCTTCTCTAGGAGACTGAAGAGAGGTGCCTGAAACAGTGAGGAGAATCCTGGTTTCAGTGGTGACAAAAAGACAAGACAGAGTCCTCTGGCAGAAAGAAAAACTAATACGCAATGGCTACAAAACGTCTGTGGGGACCCAGAGCTTGTCTGAAAGGCTATATAGAGCTACCTCATACTGACACTTCTCTGTGTCAGTAAGCTTCATCTTGATCTTGACAATTGGAAAGGAGATGGGTCGATAATGGCAAGGAGTGGGAAAGGGACACAAATGCTCTTCCGCACCAGGTTGGTCTGATTTCTTCAGGAATAGAGGCAGGACATGACCTGTCTAGATTCCTTAGTGCCTCAAAAACAGACCAAACCTGACCTCAGAGTATTCATGAGAATGATTTGGGTCCTCTGTCAGATGCCAAAAGAGGTAAGCTCAACAAAGTTACAAATTATTAAACACTAATTTTATTTAATTTTCTATCCATTTTTTTTCTTGTAGTTCTCTAAACTTCTTTAAGGCATTATTCTGAAATTTTTGTCAGTCATTCCAAAAATTTCCCTTTCTTCAGGATCCATTACTGGAGGTTTGCCATATTTCCCTCCCTTTTCATAATCCTTGTGTCCTAATGTCGATGCCTCCTGGTACAAGGCCTCATCGAAAAGGTCTTCAAAAGTGGATGAGGCTGGGGAAAGCAGCAGGAGTTCAGAGCTTGTCCCTGGAGACATTTTCTATACCAACAGACAAAGTCTTCTGTGTTCCCCAGTGCTCACCCTCGGAGACACCCCAATGACTGCCAGGGTCCCTTTCTTTAGCATTGTTCCCTGTATGGACAGAAACAGGTTTCCTGACCAGACTTGATCCTGCACTCAATCTCCACTGACACAGTTATCATGGGAAGCCATAATACTTTAGAGCTTCCACATTCAACCCAGGTGAAGGGCTTGAGTCTATTAAATCTTGAAGTCTAGAGTAGAGAAGGCAGTTTTTCCAGAAAATGAGATTGAAGACTAAAATGTATGTACTTAAAAAAAAAAATCCCAAGTAGCCCAGTACTCTTTCCACACACTTTCTAGTCAGGTAGCATCCCGAAGTCCCACCTTGATGCCCTGCTCTCCATCTGCGCAGCTGAATCCCCAGGATGATAAGGACCAGGAAAAGAAGGGTACCCAGTAGGACGCAGAGGATCCCAGGTAAGGAGAAGATGCCGGAGACGGGAGCTGAGCCTGAGAAGAGAAAAGGATCGTGAGTCCTTAGAGAGGCTAATTAGAACTAATTAGAGGCTAATCAGGAGATGACCAGGACTGTGAAGTCACCTGTTCAGATACAACGGATCTGCCTGAACCCCAAGATGTGACCAACCCAGACCTGCCCTGGGCTGTGTCAAATGTCTCCTGAATACGGTTCTAAGAGATTTCTATAAAGTGAGTGCTGGTGAGCCTTTGGAGCTTTATGGCTGCTATGGCTTAATATGGCTGCTCACAATGCCTGGTCATGAAGCCTACTGTAATTTTGCCAGAAATATGGAGATTCCTTAGTGCAGATTCCTGAAAATCTAAGTAGCTTCTCTACCACATTACTCAGAACAGAATTACCATGTACTTCCAGGGATGGGGGTAACAGCTGTCATTTCACCTGGGGAGAAGAGAAGGAAAATGGAATCTCTGTGCTGGTCTGGCCTAGAAAAGTCCCTGGGCCACACTCTCACTGTCACAGTGTTTTCTCCCAGATGCGGGGAGATCAAACCACAGCCTCTCCAGAGCCAGACTGCAGGGCAGCAGGTAAGCCTGGGAAGTGCTTTTGGATGCAAACTCACATCTCCTTCAGCTCTAGCTCACCCCCCTGCTGCTGCTACTCACCAGAGCACCTCACTCCAGCGTCCTCTTCATGCTTGCAGTTGTTCTGCCCCCAGGGCTCCGCAGCACAGGCCCACAGGGAGGACTCCTTGCCCCTGCACTGCACCTCGTCCAGCCAGATGCTGCCATTTCCTGGGCCAAACGCAGCCTCCCCCAGGGCGTCCAGGGCAGAGCCACAGCCCAGCTGCTGACACACCACTTCAGCCTCTGCCAGGCCCCAGGAGTCATCACATACTGTGCCCCAGGAGCCTTCGTGCCAAACCTCCACTCGCCCTGAGCACACGCTGTCTCCTCCCCTGAGTCGGAGCTTGTCCCTGTCTAAAAAGGCAGCAGCATCTCCTGTTACCACCCTGGTAGGAGGGAAGGAGCCCCTGGGAGCAAACGGGGGAGGTGGGAGAGGCTGATGTACCTGTGCAGGGGGCAGCAGTTGGACAGCTCTTGGGTCTCATTCCTGCAGAAGCAGACAGTGGGGAAGCACTGGATCAGGAGCAGCTGGCGGTGGTCCTGGCCCCAAACCAACTTGTCTAAGTCCTTGACCCAGTCCAGATGACAAGAAAAATCACAGGATTCAATCTAACAGACATTTACTGAGCCATTTGTGGAGCATATTCCTTATCACCAGTTGACATTATTATATCTGCTTACTTGTTTACACTCTTCACATTCCTGCAAAAACACGGGGACAAATGTACACACACACACACACTCGCACTCACACACACTCACACTCACACACTCTCACACACACACACACACACACACACTCACTCACACACACTCACACACTCACACACACACTCACTCACACACTCACACACTCACACACACACTCACTCACACACACACACTCACACACACTCTCACACTAACACACTCACACTCACACACACTCACACTCACACACTCACACACACTCACACACACTCACTCACACACACACTCACTCACACACACACACTCACTCACACACACACTCACACACACACACACACACTCACACGGATGAAAGCTCTGCTAGAGGAAGCACCTCACCAATCTCATTCCCTC